ATCGGATCGCCGCGCCTGGCTCTGGCTGGCCCCAGCCAATGCTGGTGAGTGGACCCGACCCGGATCGAGTCGGAATCGCGGTCCCAGCTCGTGAGCCGAATCGCACGAATCGGATCGTAGGCGGCCCTGATGGCTTCACGAGACGGCTCCAAGAGGACTCCGCAGACCCCCAGGAGCGCCCCCCGGGGGCCCATAGGGGGGCCCCAGGAGCGCCCAAGATCAGCTCAAGAGCGGGATTCGATGGGTGGCAGGCCCGAAGATAGCACCCAAAACAGCCCCAAGATAGCCGAAAATGAACCCAAGATTGTCCAAAGTACTTCCTACGAGGCCACCAGTCAGCCAAAATCTGGCAAAATCCATCGAACCCCGTTCCGATTATCTCGCCATTTCGCTTCCGATGGGCTTCTGCAGCCTCAAGATGGCTCAGAGATCGCAAAAGATCGCTCCACGAGACGCCCGACACAGGGCTCCAAGAGGACCTCCGCAGACCCCCAGGAGCGCCCTAGGAGCGCCCTAGGAGTGTCCAGGAGCGTCCCAAGAGCGGAGACCAGTGGGTGACAGGCCCGAAGATGGCCCCAAGATGGCCCCCAAAAACAGCCCCAAGGTGGCCCCATGGTGGCCCAAGAGAGCCCCCACGAGGCTCGCAAAACACATATGATGTCAGACAAAGTCGACTTTCTCGCTGTTGCTGCCGATGGTCCCAAGATGATCCAACAAAAACTGCCTGGGGAGACCACCACCACCCACCAACTTCCCAATCGCCACGAACGCACCGGCAGATGGCAGCGCCGATGTGGGCCAGCAGTATGAGCGAAGCGGCTGAATGCGGAGGGCCCCCCCGCGGGCCCTCGCCGTGCTGGGCTTCGAAAGAAGATGATGAGATGAAGGCGAAATGCGGGATGGTGGGCAGCATGCAGAAAGACATGCTGAGAGCGGCCTCGCGCATTCCGCCGCCTGGGGGTGGTTCGAAGCCGCCTGCCTCACCTCTTGCGCAGCGTCAGAATACGAGGGGTCTGCGCTTGCACGCTCCCGGGGCACGTAAGAATACGAGGGATGTCGGCCTCAAAGACCCTGGGAAGCTCACGCACCTTCATGCTCGTTCCGACGCGTACACGTACAAAGCATATGCGCTTTCAGGCTCCTGGTGCGCGAAGAATACCAATGACTCGGCCTGGAGGCGCTTTGGAGAAGTAATAGCTACAACAGAGTTGCCCTGCTTTTCTCCTGGCAGCCTCGATTCGGCACACCCTTCACGCACTTGCATTTTCATTTCGGCACGTACACATACCAGTGATCTGCACTCGCAGGCTCCTGATCTGCCTCGGGGCTCCTGGGAAGCGTGCAAATACAAGCGATCTTGCTTCCCATCCTCCTTGGAACCTCGATTCGACACACACCCGATGCACCAGTATGCGCATTTCGAAACAAAAAAACATGCTGATCTGCTCTTTCAGGCTCTTGGGGCACATGAAATACGAATGATTTGAGCTGGGCTGGGAGGTGCAAAATTCTGGGTTCCCGGCGCACCCGTCACGCATGTCCTGTCTGACACTTCTGCGACGCGTAAAGATACGAGTGAGCAACGCTTCCATGGCTACGACGCTGCCATGTCGTCACACCCCTCACGCATGTCCTGTCTGACTGCGACGCGTAAAAATACGAGTGAGCAACGCTGTCGTGGCTACGACACTGCCGCTTCGTCACACCACTCACGCATGTTTTGTGCCACGCTCTACTGGGATGCGCGGAAAGACTAGCGACCTGCGCTCCGAGGGCCACGAAGCAAAACATTAGCGGATTGCCATTCAGTTTTTTGTAGGGATCCTCCATTCGGCACACCCCTCACGCACTTCGTGAACGTCGGGCGCTTAGCTGGCACCCGAGACGGCTCCTTGGAGCCTCAATCCAGTAAACCCTCACACACGTCGTGCCCCATGGACCCCAAACGGCCCCTAGTTGGCTTCCAAGACCGCCTAATTCCCGAAGGCGCGCAAATGCGCCCCAAAGAAATATTGTAACGATTGGTATAGACACTCGTCAAGGCAGCATCCCTTGCACCCACTGATGGCAAAATCTGCGTGCAAGCTTCCCCCTGAGGGCCCTGGCCGTGTTCAGCTTCGAAGGTAGATGATGAGATGGAGGAGGATGGAGAAAGAGTGAGATGCATGCGGAAATGCATGCTCAGAGCGGTTTCGCGCATTCCGCCAGCCCGACGAGGGCATCCGCCCGTCGATCCCCCAGGGAAACGTAGAAACATGGATGATCTGCGCTAACGAGCCCTCTGGGCACGCAAAAGTACAAGGGATTGGCCATTACATTATCCTTGGAGCTTCAATTTGGCGCACCCCCGCACGCAATTCGTACATGTGTGGATGCCAGGACAGTGGACGCTCTGACAATGCTATCATTAGTTAAAGATGTTTCAGACATGTTGGAAACATGTTACACATCTGGAAATTGTTCGGCAGCACGCTTCCTCTCCATTGATCGACTTCCACAATCGTATATCATGGGAGCCCAGCTGGACCCCGAGACAGCTCCTCGGGGCCTCCATGCGGCGCGCCCCTCTCGCGCAATTCTCCATGGGGCGATCCGCGCTGGCCCTCACGACGGCTGCAGGGAGCCTCGATTCGGCACACTCCTGCGCTCGTAGCTCGATGACAAGTTCAGCTATCCACAGCTGCCTCTATTGTTGAGCACCGCCAATTCGGCACACTCCTCACGCACCTCGTGCCTCCTGGACTCCAAGGGATCCTCCGCTGACCCCCCAAAGACTGTGCAGCGGAGCTCCGATCCAGCACACGACCCTCCCACTCGTGGCCCGGGGAGCCCCGGAGGCTGCCGTTTGGCTGCTGGGACCGCCTGCCCACCCCCCGGGGAACGCCGAGAAGGGCCTGAGAAGAGTGTCAACGAGCGGTACCGACCTTCGTCGACGCGAACTGCCGAACACTCACTGATTGCGAAAACTGCGTGCGGGTTTCCCTCTTGGGGCCCGCCAGGACCTCCGCTACGCGGCGCAAGAACCATGATGTGTGGCCCAGCCTGCTCTGACATGACGGACCATAACTGCACCCAGCCCGACAACTCTTGAATGCACTGGTGCCCCTCCGCATGATCATGCAGAGGCGGAGCTTGATACACTGCGAGACATACCGCGACGCGTGCATGCAGAATTGCCAGGCTCTGCCCAGCCCATCCCGCCGTCAACACGATGCTTCGCTTACCATCGACCGTGTCGATCTCCCAGCTGGAGTCCTCCGGCTCGACTTCCTGCCCCGGTACACACAAGACCCCTTGCTTCTGCGCAGCAAGTTGCGGGATACATCCCCATGCGTCAACGAGCCGACGCGACTGCACGATCCGAGCTTCGCCACCCAGGGAGGCAAGGGCGCTTTGCGCCCGGCGCTGGCGACGACGGCACTGGCGAGCCCTGGAGAGGGCGGCAGCATCTGACGGGCGGGGCGATCACAGGCGGGAGGCGCATGGGCCAGAAGAAGTGCAGCGCGGATCCCAGAAATCCGCGCGGAGCCCCAAAAGCTCATATTCAATGCCGTTCTTTCTTCTTCTATCGGCGGTGGACAAACCTCCCTTCAGCAAACCACCCTCAAGTGAAAACGGCCCAGGACCGAAACGGGCGGACCTGGACCCGCAAGAGTGACGGCCGCGACGCCCTCTCGCGAACCGAAAACGGCCACTTCGCTAACCGACGCGTCGGGGTAGGATTAAGTCGGGCCTGTCCCCCTACAGGGGGATCTTCGACGAAAAATAAAAAATACCCCCCAAATAATCCACAAAGAATCCAAAAATGGTCTGGGGACTATTTGGGGGGTATTTGTTTGACCTTTCTGGGGTATTTTTGGGGGTATTTTCTAATTGTTCGTCGACAATTCCCCTGCAGGGGGACGCGCCCGACATGAGGGTAGGAGGCCAAGCAGCCTCCGATTCGAAGGGCCGGAGAGCGTCAGCCGAGGCGCCTCGGCGGGCCGCGCGGCGCGCGCGCGCGCGCCGCCCGAGCGCCGAGGAGGCCGCCGAGGGCGGGGGCGGTGCGCAGAGGGCCTGCGGCGGCGCGGTGCCGCTGGGAGGACCCGCCAGGGGCGAACCGAGCGGCGCGGTCGAGAGAGAGAGAGAGGGAGGGGGGGGGGGACAGAGAGAGAGAGGGAGGGGGAGGAGCGCAGCGGAGAGACAGAGAGAGAGAGGGAGAGCAGGGCAACGCAGTCGAGGGGCAGAGAGAAAGAGAGAGAGAGAGAGAGAGAGAGCGCGAGAACGCGTTTTAAGCCCGATAGCCTCGAAAAAGAAAACCATGGGGGGGGGAGTGGACCCCCCCCCACGGGAAAAAAAAAAAAAAAAAAAACTGACACCCTCCGAAACGAGGGGACCCCACCCATACCCACCCACCCCAACGACCCCACGTGAAATGGAGATGGGGGATTCTGGACCCCCCGAACCCCCCCTCCCCACTAGTCGCCGACAGCAGACGACGACGAGGAAGACGACGGCAACGGCGACGGCGACGGCGACGACGGCGACGACGACGATGACGACGGCGACGACGGCGACGGCAACGGCGACGAAGACGAAGACGAAAACGACGACGGCGACGGCGACGGCGACGGCGACGGCGACGGCGACGGCGACGACGACGACGACGACGACGACGACGACGACGACGACGACGACAACACCGAATCGAGCGGGCAGCAATGCGGACGGGACAGTAAAGCAGGTGGGTCTAACGGGCGGTCGGGACGGGCGGGCAAGGCGGGCAGGCACAGCCGGAGTGGAGCCGTCGTCGTCGCCTGCTGGCACGAGAGCCGTCGTCGACACTTGCCGGCGCGAAGACGGGGGGTGGGATCGTAACTCGCCCTCCGCGGCGGTTACATAACCCCCCATGCCCAACCGCACGTGACAAGCGCCCGTTCGCCGCTTCAAATACCCATCCCTCTGGAAGACCCCAAAGCTCCGCACGCCACGTCTCTTCCTCCAACTCCCACAGGCGACGTCTACAAGCAACGATCCTCCTGCTCCTGACCACCACCGCCACCATCGCTGCGGCGGCGTGCCTTAAAGAAGGCGTCGTCGATGATGGGCTCCTGGCCCTTCACGCCCGCCTCGGGGGGCGCGACCCCTGGGCCAAACCATGCCCACGGTGAAAGGGAGGGGGGGGAGGAGTCGGGAAGGCGGATGTACGAGAGCCTCCGTCGATCGAAAGGCAAACGAACTTGGTACATTCTGGATCCCACCGGAGTGGAAGCGCCAGCCGGCGCTTCTGCTGAAAACCTCCAGGAAGATCTTCAGGAAGAAAGAGAAGAACGAAATGAAGATCAATACTGGATGGTGTAAGTAAGATGTGAGAAAAAATGGCATTGCAGCATGCTTTGCTACACTCCTCTGGCGAAGGGCGTTTTGCTCACTAGCTAAATAGCGACGAAAACGCGCGCGAGGAGGGGAGAAGCTAAGCACTGAAGAGGTGGAAGTGTAAATCTCACGATCCACTCTCCTCCTGCTTAGCGCCACCCACCGTGCATCAAAACTTGCACTACTTTGCAAAAGCGAACATCTATGCCGTGCTGCTCTCTGTGGAGCACTGGCACTTTCCACGCTCCTGCTCGTAGCAGGCAGTCTCTTGCCGAACCTAGCTTCTCTGGCAGTTACCTAGGATAACACCCGCACTGATGCTAAGGAGATTCTTGCACACAACTGACGCCTATCACGTGGCACCTCATCGCCACAGCCTGTTCCGTGACATTCCTTACTCACGACAGGCAGGATGGGGAGGGGAGGTCGAGGAAGAGAGAAAGAGAGGCACGCGGGGCAATAATTTTCGTGACTGCCGGCTGCCTTGTTTTTAAAACACAAGCAGTATATATCTTGACTGCCAATTCCTACGACCCACACCCCTCGGCAGACACAGTTTCGCGCCCGACCCTACCCGTCCCCATCCAGGGGTTGACCTAGACAGGTCTTTGCTACAGGTACATATCTATGCCCGAAACCTTGCGCGCCTCCACTGTAGGGACGCCGTGCTCGCCAGAGACCCCTGACGCAAGCGCGGCTCTCCCTGAGGCAACATCTCTATTGCCTGATGTCTTGCAGAGACAACTTGTCAGAAGTCTCACGCATTGCGAATCTCAGTGCTGCCAGCGGTCCGCCTGCGGCCGTTCACGAAGGTCGCGCTGGCCGTCACGCGCACCGCGCGGCATTCACCTCTAGTGCTGACCAAGGTTATCTGGTCGCGAAGAACTGACCCCCTGGCGCGGCCGTCCGCCGGCATGTCCCTCGCGCCGGTCCAGAAGAGACGTCGCAGGGTGCCAGACTGCAGGCGCTCTCGCAGGGAAAGAACGCGCAGCTCCAGACTGCCCTCGACGAAGTCGCCCACGTCTGCGGCAGCCAGGAAGTCGAAAAAGCCCCTGGCGAAAACTGCTGTGTCGACAGGAGACTGGAGGCGTCATTTGTCCGGGTCTTCCGCCAGGCTCTTGGCTGTGGCCTCGCAGCTATGGTGGACCTGATGGAGACAGATCTGAATCACCAGGAGAATCTCCAGAGTGTCCACCAGACCATTCAGCTCGCCAATGAAAGTCGAACGAACTACTGAACGTTGCCGCCGGCAGTGGAACTCCAAGACGTTGCAAGCCCTGTCTGGAGATGCCAGCGTCGAGAAGCAATCCGCGTTGAGGATGATGACGCAGCCGCAGTCCGGAATCGCCCTGAAGGCTGCATCCGCGATCCCAACAAGCTGGAGGCGCCCCGGCAGCTTCCCGAACTGGATGCCGACCCCGCGCCGGCGGACCAAACGCAAGACGAGGCTCAAGCGTTTCAAGTCCTGTGCTCTCGGTTCGGCTCCGCGCCCGCGTCGTTGAAGCGCCTGCGCACAAGGGCCTGCACGCGCACCGCGTCGGCTGGCAGTGCGAGGCAGGGCCAGGCGCCACCGCCAACGAGCGTAAGTAATGGTATTTCGCCTCACCGCTGACATTCTGCTCGTCTTTCAACTCAGCAAGGAACTTGTTGCCGATCTCCCTGAGGGGGCCACATACTTCTCCTGGCGCGCGTCAACGCCGCCTGCTCTGGTCACATGCACAATGCCAACGCGCGTGAAGTTGGCCCACTCCTGTGCACAAGCGCCAACGTGCATCTCCAAGTGCTTCAGGAGCTCCGTAGCCACTGTCTTGGGGGCTCCGCCTGTTAAGACGTCAACGTGAGCAATGAGAACCTTCGTCCACTTGGATTGCGCGTCGTGGCGCGTAGGAACGGGGGTCTACGCACAGCGCGTTCAGGCCGAACTCTTCCTGGATCAGGCGCAACTTCTCGCGCCGTGCTTGAGGCGCGTCCTGGAAGCCAGACTGCCTTGACTATCTGAATGACTTTTACGCTGGGGGTGAAATCTTCGTAGCCAGGATTCTCCCTCAGCAACCTGATGTCATCGGAACGCACCCCGAATGGCACCACGCGACGAGTTTCACCTGTAAACTCAGACAACTCTTGGAAAGTCAAGCCCTTCGCAAAAGCGGCGCCGACGTCGAAACTGAAGAGTGCCCAGTCGCTCTGCTGCGCCGTGATGGCGTTCATAACGCGCTGACCCCATGGAGGGCGGCACCGACGAATGCGCATAAGTTGCCGTCGTGGTCTGCGAACCCACGCATGGTGAGTCCAACCTTGATGAAGTGCTTGCTGCCCTTATACTTCCACTTGAATATCCCCCTGGCTTCCACAACATAATTTGCCAAATTCCTCCGGGGCCTTCGAAGACATCCAAGGACGTGGAGACTCGTGTGCTCTCGTCTCTTGCCCTGGATGAAGTCGACGGCATGTTTCGCCACGTCCTGCATGCCCAGGTCGGCGAGTGCTTTCGAGATCGCGCCAATATGCTCGTCGGCGGCCAGGAACGAACCCAGCCCCGTTTCGGAGTACTCTTCGTCGGGCGCGTCAGGAAGCAGATCGCCCGCATCTCTGTCGGAATCGTTGATCTCCACCAACCACGCATTGAAGTCTTCATCGTTGCGGTCGCCGCCCGCCCCCTGACCTCCTCACCCCAGGGTCAGGCCAGAGCGCCGCGCGCTTAGCCGTCGGGCGCAAAAAAGCTGATGCTGCTGAGACAGTTATTCAGCAGCTGCTCTGTCTGAGCGCGCGGCCGATGGTGGATCCGCACCACGTGGACCGGCGGGGGCCGCGGGCCGCAGCCGACACAGGGCTCGGGCAGCGCCGAACGGTCGCAGGCGAGACCGCGGCCGCAGGAGCAGCGGGGGGGGCGGATGTTGCCACCCCCTCTCCCTGAGACCAGGCTCGGAGAGCGGCTGATCCCGCGCCTCTTGCAGTCGCTTCCCGCGCGAGGCGGCCCCTCTACTCCGGGGCGGCCCCCTGCCGCGGCGGGGCCCAACAGATCCCAAACGTTTACCTGAGAGCCCATCGCTGGCCGTGGAGGTGGCACAGGTGGTCTGCTGGATGCACTCGCGCCTGCGATTGGCGCACCCTTCGGCCCCGGCGGCGAGCGAGACCTCGGCGCCACCACAGCCCGCGCGGGGGGCTGCGGAGGAGGGGGCGGCGCTTTCCCGCCTTGCAGCAATCTTCATCGGAGTACGCGGCGATGGCGCGATGGCAACCATGGCGATCGAGAAGACGGAGCGGCTGCACGTTCGGCCGCTGCTGGGGACGCTGGCGGCGCCAGAAGTGGTGGAATGGTTCGCATGGCCCCCGTGCCGGCGACGATGCCGATGCCCATGGGGAAATGGCGACCTCGGCATTACCACTTTGCCGGCTGCCAGCGGCGTCGGCGGCGGTGGCGGAGTATAAAGACATTGGATTTCAGGCGACATCCGTCTCGGACCACCACCACCTGGCGTTGATCACGATCGCGTCATCGACTGTCGCACTCCCCCCCCCCCCCGGCAGCAATGGCGGCGGCGGAGGCGTCGCCAAGATCACGTCGAGGGATGGTTGCTGCGAAGCTGGCGTCCGCGACCGCGCGGATGGAACTGCAAACGCCGTCGCTTCGCCGCGGCCAGCTCCACCCTCTGGCGGGGAAGGAGGCGGGGCAGGCGTCTGGGTGACAACACGCAACATGGAATAATCACCCCGCAGATCCGTCGGTCGCGACCTGGACCCACTCGCCACTCGAAAACCTCGCGGGAATCAGAACGAATACTGTCGGCGCCCGCGCCAGCGCCTTCGGCACTGGCGCCGGAGCTCGCGGCGGCGGCGTCGTTGCTCGCGGCGACGGCGTCGGCGCCCGCGGCCCTGTCGGCGGCGGCGCACTAGGCAGCCCTGGCAAACTGCTCGGAGAAGGGTGCGAGTTTGGAGAACATGGAGGACGTCCTTTTACTTGCCTGTCCGCTCCCAGCCATCAAGCGCACGCCGGGGCGCTGCCCGATCAGGCCCCCAGCATCCTCGGGTTTCGCCCACGCGAACTGGACGACGCAGTAACTAGTCCCTCCACGGGGCCTTCCCAGAGTGGATGGCCAGATCTTTGATGACCAGGCGTTTGAGATCGATGCTCCCGTCGAGGTCGCCGCCCGCGCTGTCGAACACCACGAGGGATTGTCCTCGCCCCCCCCTTGGAGCGCAGAGCGCCAGATCCACAGCCCCTGCAACTGAAGTTCAAGAGCGGCTCTAGGGAAGACACTCCCCGCGACAGTCTCACAGCGGCGCAGACCACCGTGGATGCCACAAAGAAGCCTGCTTCCAAGACCTGGCACTCCGACATCGTTCAGCTGGCCATCGGCAGATGCCAAGCGGGGCTGCGTCTGTCGCTGCGGCGCAAACACCCGTGCACTTTCACCGCCTGGATGCTGAGGTTCTCGCGCGCGCTGCGTAGTATAACACATTGCGCGTGGGGGCATTGCTTCTGGCTGACCAAGAAGACGAGGCGGGCCACGTGACCCCGCACATCTTGGCCACGTCCGCGGAGGATCTGCCCTGATAACGCATTGACACCACGTTCTCGTCGGGCTAGATCGCCACGGCCACCGCTGGCCCCCGCCATCCGCTAACGTCCTTGGACGAAGGGTCGAATCAAATGTCGGCCGGCTACCCAGCCGTCAACTTTGCGAGTTCCGAAGCGGGTCGCGTTCGATTATGCTCTGCTCGTCCAAAGCAGCCCTTGGCCGCGTGCTCCGCA